TTGCTCATTAGAGTCAGCACCCTGGTCCTTGAGGCGCTCTATTTCATGATCCTTTTTCTTGCATTGCCTTTGCAGACCATCAATGGTGAGGATAGATTCTTACTCTCTTTCTTCAAGGGCCCTTATCTGGGCTCCCATGATTTCTATCCTCTGGGTCAAGGCATTGACTTGAGCTTGCCGCTCTTCACTGTTGGCGTTTGTAACGAGTGAGGTTGATGGTTGAGACATCCTTCTTCTTTTTCTCCACACCTCATAGTCACTGGAGACAACCACTCGAGCTTTTCCTAGCTCTCTATCTCCCATAAAGACTGGTTTCTCTCATGCTTTTCTCACGGCTAGTGAGTTGGCGATTGTGCATGGGTCTCCGAAAAAACACAGTCCTCCGAGTTCCCCTCGAGAAATTGTAGTTTGAGTCCTCATGAGCTGTCTCATAGCTACTGTAGGTGAGTAGACTATGCAACCCCGGAGTCCTATCAAGGGTACGTTCGGATAGTCTCCACATCTGATGAGAACTGGACCAGGACGGAACCAAGGGCAGACCCAGGATAAATTGTTGGCGTCCCATTGTTCCAACTCGTCCCTCCACTCTGAAGTTAAGCATCGTTGGAGAGGGATTTTGGAGAAGCTCCTCAAAGGGTCGGGAACATCCCCATGTGACTAGAGACGTAAAAATGTGTAATGCCACACACAAAGAGCAGTGAAGAGCAGCAACGAAGTGTTTTTCCTTGCTTCTGGCGGCAAAATTCCACCGAGAGCTAGGTGTCGGCAAGAATTGCAGGCAAGGGACTCTTCGAGTTCATGTCCCAGGAGAAGAAGGCGTCCATGGCGGCTTGATCCACTGTGTCGAGGTGGAAGGGAAACAAGATCGTTCCAAATATGATTAAGGCCAGGGTTTTGTTAAAAGCGACCCATTCTGTCCTTTCAGCCAAATCAGACAGATGGTCTTCTAACATTGAGACTTTTCAACCCTGGATGTTCTCTTTTCCTATCAGGGTAGTCTGCCGGAAAGGCAGGTGGATGATGACAGCGACTTGTGCTGCAGGAGTATATGCCCCGTGGTGGATATGGACCCCGGCTGATTTGGGCCATTTCAACATGATTTCGTACTCCTCCAAGGTAGGCACCATATCAAACTGCGGAAATTCGAAGCAGCGCAGACTGGAGTTCCAGAAATGAACTAATACCCTGACGAAAACTTGATCGACACAGATCTTCAGCAGGTCGAGCATCCGTCCATAGGATTTTTCAAATTCGGAGCGGACCTCTGGTGGCATTATCGCGCAAAGTCGTTCCAATTTCTCAGTATGGTATCGGGGAATATCCACCTTCTTCAATTGTCTACTAGTCCCCTCCATTTTCTAAAACCAAAATGTATGTTTTATGAAAATGATGCTTATTGAATGAATGTGAGTGTTTATTTTTTATCATGTTTTGTATGATATTTGCATATTTTTTTTTGAAAAATAAACTACTTATATGAGTGTAATATTTTTGAACAAAGTCCCATTTATTGTTTTTGGAATCGAATTTTTATTTGATTTTTATTTTTATTTTATAGTCTTTTATCTCTTCTGTCGAACTGCGTGACTACTTAGCGTACAAAGAACCTGAAACCAGGCTAGCTAAAAGGCAGACTATCCGAGATAAAAAATGGCTTTATGCGAAAGAATAGTTAGCGTCCCTTATCTCTTCTGTCGAACTACGTGACTACTTAGCTTGCAAAGAACCTGAAACCAGGCTAGTTAAAAGGTAGATTGTCCGAAATAAGGGTGTTTATTGCGAAAAATAATTTTTGTGATTTTTCTGTTGTTTGGTTATGCTATGCAACAGACAAATGCAACAAACATATGCACACACAATTCGATCATCCACGAACAGGCAAGAAGTCGTTTTAATCATGAGGTAGGGTTTTCCTGCAGAAAAATGCTTTGGCGAAGGTAGGTTCTAACTGTTCTCACCAAGGCTAAGGCCCCCAAGGTGCCCCCATTATAGGGTCCCCACTCTCCAGCCTTCCGACCATGCTTAGCACTAAGGTCATAGTCAGTCTTTGTGTCAAAAGAGGAAGGTTATCACCTTGAGTGGTGGTTTCCGATCACACTGGTGGGCACAAGGCCATCACTACAGCGAATCGTACCTGCCACCCACTCCCTATGGATTTCTCACTTGCCGTCAGGTATAGAGGGAACTGTAGTGTGCAAGGTTTTGTGTACAGTTTGTATTTCAAACAATTGCGTAAATATAAACAAGCAAAAGTTATTAAAGCCAAGCATTAAAGCATGTTATAATACAAGGTAGGGTAAAAGCGTAATTTTCTTGGTTTATTTACTTTAAGCTGACCCATAACTAAATGGGATCAACTCTCTAGACTTTCCCAGTGAAGTCGCCATCTGTCGCCGCCGTTAAAACGAGGCGGTCGGAGCGATGCGATGGTTTCGACTTTCCAATTTTCGCGTTTTATTGGTGTGGTTACAACGCCTTTAGGTTGTCCGATAACCGGGCTGAACCTAGGGGCCAGGTTTTCGAAAAGGCGCTCTTGGATTGTCTAATAACCAGGCTAATCCAAGAACTAATTTTGAAGGGTTCTTCTGGAGTCGCCACCGATATTTTTACCGGAAACATCGGAAAAGGAATAAAAGGCGTTGGTTTTCGAAAAACCAACTTTGGTCATTAGAACCAGAGTTGGGTAAGGGAGTTAGTTACGTGTAAGGGAAGTGTTAATTCCCTTATGACGCCCCTTTCGGGTTCCCTATGATAGGCCAGCTATTTTAAATAATTAAACCGGTGAAAATACGCTTTTACCCTTTATTTGCGGAATTTAAAGTTATGACTACATGGCCCTAATATCTATTGCATAATTAAAATAAAACAGTAAAAGAGAGAGGGAGAATGTAAACCTCCGAGGCAAGCTTTCTATTAACTTTTTGAAATTTAAGATGCTTTTTGGCAGCCCTTCACTCTTTACAGTGCCGAAATCTCTCGAAAACGCTATAAAAAACTCTAGAAAGTTCTCAGAAACTCCGAAAATGCTTCGGAGGGATTCTAGAAAGAGAATTTGAGGAAGTGACTAGAGAGAGAATGGAAGAACTGTGTGAAATGAGGGGAATGGCGCAGCTATTTATAGGGATTCGTGCCTGTCAGGTCGAGACGGCCGTCTCGCCAAACGAGACGGCGATCTCGCCACTTTCGCGAGGCGAGACGGTGGTCCTGAATCCGAGACGGCGGTCTCGACCCTAAAAGGTGAAAATCCTTATTTACATGCAGAAAATCCCTCCTATCCTAGTATGGGGCCTAATAGTCTCTCCTAATGGCTTCTTAGGCTTCATCCATCTTCAAAAGGAGGTCTTCTGGTCTTTATTATGAGGCCGGACAAGATTTGGGGTCTACAAAGGGGTTTATATGAAACAACCTGAAGGGTTCTTCTCTAGTGATAGTGAGCACTTAGTATGTAAGCTTAATAAATTCATCTATAGATTAAAACAATTTTCACACCAAATTTTATAAAGTTATTTCTTTGTTTGGTTTTGAGGAAAACATCATGGATCAATGTATATACTAGAAGGTTAATGAGAGCAAAATTTGCTTCCTTGTTTTCTATGTGGATGACATTTTGCTTGCAACTAATGACTGTCGCAACCGAAATTGTGGTGGGACGACGAATCAAATTTTATGATTTAGAAATTAAAGTTTTGGAGTCGCCATCATAGTTTATTTAGGAAAACTATGGAAAACATAAAAATAAGACAAGGTCTACGAAAACCGAATTTAGGTTCGGAAGTCAGTTACATGTAGGGAAGGTATTAACACCCTACAACGTCTGTCCTAAGACGGTTACCCTTAGTTGAATGTGCAAAATTGAATCTCATTTTAAAACTATTTATTTTCCCCAAAATTAGAAAACAAAGAAAGAAAAATGGAAAAAGAAAATAATGGACAAAAATATTTTTTAGTTTTTTGGGACCTAGTAAGGATTAACTTTGCTCTTACATATTCTCATTCAAAATTAGAAATCCGACGTAGTTCTTTGTAGATAAATTTTGTGTGTTTGATTAATGTTTTGAAATTTTTTGTTTTTGAAATAGTTCTGTATTTTTTTGGGTTCTAAAGAAATTTATATTTTTATCACTTTTACTATTTTTTGGAGACATATGATGATGCGTGCGGCCATACCCGTGTTTCAAAAACTTATTTAAAAGAGATAGGATATGACGACACGAACAACCGTACCCGTACCTCAAAATTTATTTTAAAGGAGAAGGGACCAGATGTTCGAATCACCTAAGTCGCATATGGCCAATAGCCAATAAAGCTAATAACACGGGGCCGACATCTCTAGATTGAGACCCTAAAGCAAATAACGCAGGGCCCAACCACAAAATTGAAACAAGCCTATAAATAAAAACAAAAATGCTGAACTTGCATATGTTCTTATCAAAAGTATCATGAAGCACATAAAAACCATGAGCCACAACCATCCAACCTTTAGAATAGGAATCCATATATTTACAGCCAATGATAAAATAAGACGTGACATCCATTGCAAATCAACCACATTCACAAGCAACAATTCAAAGGTACTTCAACCCAAATTGGTAAATAAAATATGGCAGCATAAGGGCAGTAAAATGACATTAGCCACAACACTCATGGTCCATGCAGTCTAGATAACAAAAAGAAGGACCCAAGGTCCAAAAATAGTTTAACACAATCCAGATACAATATTGTACAACTTGTAACAAATAGAACAACAATAAACACTAAGATAGTTCCACAACCCAATATCCTAATCAAACTCAAACACCAATTCCAATCCAGAAATGAGGCCAAACGAGGACCACACCATTTCACTTAAAATAACTACCCCAATAAAAAATATGATGGACCTCAATCAGAAACAAGCAAAAGTAACATATACAAAATCAAACAAAATAAGTCATGAGAAACAAGAACCCCAATCAGAAATGCAATCCCCTATAAGAAACATGTAAAAATATAAGACAAAATCAAGCAAAAGCAAAAGAGGGTCGATGCCAAATCCCCTGACCTAGGGTTGGACCTTCATAGGCGAGTTGGCTCGTGGGGCGGGTTGGCGGCAAAGGCACCTTGCAGTGATGCTTATCTCGTTGGGTGAGGTTGCAACGACCTGGGTTCACGGTGAAGGGGGAGTGAAGTGGAGGTGGCGCAATCCCAGGGGTGCTAGGGTGGTGCGGTGACCGGACCTAGGCAATGGGGACTGAAGATGTAAATCATTTTGTAGTTTTCCTAATTCATTCTAGAAAATGACTCTACAGGTTCTTTAGATTTATGATTCTCACTTAATAACATAAATCATAATAAGGAGACTAATGAGAATGTGTTCTTTAATCTCTTTGTTCTCCAACCTCTTTTTCCCAATCCATCTCTTTACCTTTCTTTCTCCTCTCACACTTCCTGATGGTTTACTGTGAAAAGAACCTTAATCCCCTTTCATTAACCAACGTTCATCAAGTTTGTTATTGTAAATTTTTATTTTATTTTATCTTTATTTTATTCTAACTTTCAAAAATAATTAATGAGTCCTTATATTTTATTAAATCACATTTGGGCTCATCATTATATTTCACATGATAAAATTAATTAATTATTAATTTTAACATTCGCCCAATTGACTCGTGATGTGATACCATTATGTGATTTAATACTAAAGACATAATGCACATTAAAGGACCTTACATAAATTGATTTTATCATTATTCATAATTAAATATATAGTTATAACAAGAGTCATGGTGGTTACATGACCTTCAATAGACATCCTCCCTTTTATGTTCTACTATATTATCTTTTTCTCCTTAATATGAATTTATAATGACAAGTCCATAATGGGTTCAAACATAATATCATTTTCAATAACAATAAAATAATTTGTTTTCTTCATCACAATTTGCATGCATATAAATAAAGAAGAAAACACAAATTTTAGAAACTTATACATTAAAGATCTCAAAGTAACATAAGCATTAATAATAACATTAACATTCATTATTAAACATAATGTCCATATTCACTATATGGCCAGCAAACAACTTGGACGGTAATCCCTTTGTTAAAGGATCAACAATCATAAGATCAGTGCTAATATGTTCTATTGACACTCTTCGTTTCTGAATTTCTTTAACGACAAAGTATTTTAATTTCATATGTTTTGCACCTTTAGAATACTTGTCATTCACAGAGAAGAGTACTGTTGGAGAATTATCACACTAAATTTTCAGCGACTTGGCAATGATGTCGACTACTCCAAGTACTAAAATAAAATTTCACAACTAATTAGTCTGAACTTTGGTCTCAAAACATGCCACAAATTTAGTTTTCATGGTGGATCTATAGACCCTAAATCTTGTCCGGCCACAAAATAAGAGCAAAAGACCTCCTATTCGAAGATGGATGAAGCCTAAAAAGCCACTAGGAGAGACTATTAGGCCCCATATTAGAGTAGGAAGGATTTTCTGTACAAATATAAGGATTTTTGCCTTCAGGAGTCGAGACCACAGTCTCGCTTTTCGGGACCGCCATCTCGACCAATGGCAAGTCGAGACCGTCGTCTCGTTTGGTGAGACCGCCGTCTCGCCACTTGCCATTCGTGAGACCCCCATCCCGGTTAGCGAGATGGCCCTCTCGCCACTTGGCAAATCGAGACCGCCGTCTCGCCAAATGAGACCGTCGTCTCGCCACTTATTCAAGTCGACACCGTCCTCCCGAATGGCGAGACCGTCGTCTCGACCTTGCCAGTCGAGACCGCCGTCTCGACCTGATAGGCGCGAATCCCTATAAATAGTGAGCGCTCCTCCCTTCATTTCACACAGTTCTTCCACTTTCTCTTCTACACTTTCTCCAAATTCTCCTCCTAGAGTCCCTCCGAAGCATTTTCAGAGTTTCTGAGTGTCTAAGAGAGCTTTTTATAGCATTTTTGAAAGCGATTTCGGCGTTGTAAGAGCGAAGGGCTGCCAAAATGCACCCTGTTTTTCAAGAGAATTAATCAAAAGCTTGATCTAGAGGTTTCTTCACTCTCTCCCTCTCTTTTACTGTCCTTTTATTTATATTAAATTGTGCAATAGTCATTAGGACCATGTAGTCGTTATTTTTTATTCCGCAAAAATAAAAGGGTAAAAGTGTCTTTTCAAAAGTTTATTTATAAAATAAATGGCCTATCATAGAGAACCCGAAAGGGGCGTCGTAAGGGAACTAACACTTCCCTTACACGTAACTAAGTCCCTTACCCAACTCTGATTTTAACGACCAAAGTTGGTTTTTCGAAAAACCAATGCCTTTTCTCTCCTTTTTCGATGTTTCCGGTAAAAACATCGGTGGCGACTCCATAAGAACCCTTTCAAACTTGTTCTTAGGTCAGCCCGGTTATCGGATGATCTAAGAACACCCTTTCAAAAACCTCGCCTTTCGATTCAGCCCGGTTATCGGACAACCTAAAGGCGTTGTAACATCATCCATAAAAATGCGAAAAATGGGAAAGTCAGAACCATCGCGTTGCTCCGACCGCCTCTTTTTTTACGGCGGCAACAGATGGCGACTCCACTGGGGAAGCCTAGAAAGTTGATCCCATTTAGTGATGGGCCAGTTTAATAAATAAACTAAGAAATTTTGCTTTTACCCTACATTATATTATAACATGCATTAATTACTTGGCTTTAATTACTGTTGTTTGTTTATTTTACGCAATTGTTTGAAATACAAACTGCACACAACAATTCCCTCTATACCCGGAAGTGAGAAATCCATAGGGAGTGGGTGGCAGGTACAGTTTGTCGTAGTGATGGCCATGAGCCCACCGGTATGATCGAAACCCACCACTCAAAGTGATAACCTTCCTCTTTTAGCACAAAGACTGACTATGACCTTAGTGCTAAGCATGGTCGGAAGGCTGGAGAGTGGGAACCCTATAATGGGGGCACCTTGGGGGCCTAAGCCTTGTTTAGAACAGTTAGAACCTACCCTTGCCAATGCACTTTTCTGCAGGAAAACCCTACCACGTGATTAAAATGACTTCTCATTAAAATGACTTCTCACGTGTTCGCAGATGAATGAATTGAATGTGCATTTGTTTGTTGCATTTGATTGCATAGCATAACCAAACAACAAAAAATAGAAAAAAATATTTTTCGCAATAAACACCCTTATCTCGGACAGACTACCTTTTAGCTAGCCTAGTTTCAGGTTCTTTGAAATCTAAGTAGCCACACAGTCCGATAGAAGAGATAAGGGATGCTAGTATTATTCTTTCGCAATAAACCATTTTATCTCGGACAGTCTGCCTTTTAGCTAGCCTGGTTTCAGGTTTTTTGCAAGCTAAGTAGTCACGCAATCCGACAGAAGAGATAAAAGGGCTCTAAAACCAAAAATAAAATAAAAGATCAAATAAATGGGACCTTGTTCATAAACATAAAATTCATAAATTATCCATATAGGTAGTTTATTTTCCGAAAAATAAAACATGCAAATATCATACATCATGTAGAAACAAAACATGATAAACATTTAGGGAAAAACAAACACCCGCATGCATACCCACGATAAGCATCATGTTCATAAAACATGCATTTTGGTTTTTAGAAAATGGAGGGGGCTAGTAGACAATTGAAGAAAGTGGATATTCGCTCTGACTTCAAGAAATCCTATGGATGGATCCTCGACCTGTTGAAGATCTGTGTCGATCCCATTTTTATCAGGGTTCTAGTTCATTTTTGGAACTCTAGTCTGTACTGCTTCGAATTCCCGTAGTTCGATATGGTGCCCACTTTGGAGGAGTATGAGATTATGCTAAAATGACCCAAATCAGCCGGGGTCCATATTTGCCACGAGGCATATACTTCCGTAACACAAGTCGCTGCCATCATCCGATTACCATTCTGGCAGACTACCCTGATAGAAAAAGGGAACATTCAGGGTTGGAAAGTCTCAATGTTAGAAGACCATCTGTCCACTTTGGCTGAAAGGACAGAATGGGTCGCTTTCAACAAAACCTTGGCTTTGATTATATTTGGAACAATCTTATTTCCCTTCCATATCGACACAGTAGACCAAGCCGTCATGGACACCTTCTTCGCCTGGGACGTGAACTCGAAGAGTCCCTTGCCTGCACTTCTTGCTGACACCTTGCTCTCGGTGGAATTTTGCCACCAGAAGCAAGGAAAAACACTCTGATGTTGCTCTTCACTACTTTTTGTGTGGGGAATAACACATTTCTACGCCTCTAGTCACATGGGGATGTTCGCCGACCCTTTGAGAAGCCTCTCCAAAATCCCTCTCCACCGACGCCTGACCTCAGAGTGGAAGGTCGAGTTAGAACAATGGGACGCTGACCAATTATCTTGGGTTTGCCCTTGGTTCCGACCCAGCCTGGTCCTCATCAGATGTGGGGATTACCCGAGCATACCGTTGATAGGACTCAGGGGTTGTATAGCCTATTCACCAAGAGTAGTTATAAGACAACTCATGAGGACTCAAACTACAATATCCCGATGGGAGCTCGGAGGACTGTGTTTCTTCGGAGACCCATGCACTATTGCTAACTCACTGGCCGTGAGAAGAGCATGGGAGAAACTAGTCTTTATGGGAGATAGAGAGCTAGGAAAAGCTCGAGTAGCTGTCTCCAATGACTATGAGGAATGGAGACGGAAAAGAGGGATGCCACAACCATCCACCTCACTCGCTACACATGCAAATAGTGAAGAGCTGCAAATTCAAGTCGACGCCTTGACCCAGAGGATAGAAATCATGGGAGCCCAAATGAGGGCCCTTGAAGAAAGAAAGCAAGAATTTATCCTCACCATAGATGGTCTACAAAGGCAATGCAAGAAAAAGGATTAACTGACACGGGTTCCAAATCAGAAGAATGGAAAGAAAGCCACTCTTAATAAAGCTCTCCCCAACGGTCAATCCACCACAAGAGGATAATAAGCCTCGGTCGTTGGTCCTCAAAACCAATAAGGAAGAGGGGGCAAGGACGCCTGTGCGATTATTTATGCCACGTCCTTTCCCTTACAAATCAAATAAAGTTGTGTGGAGATATGGAGAATCTTCACCAATAAAGGAGGATATCTCCAATATAGCCGGCATTGGGGGCATGACTAGAAGTGGAAGGGTCTACTCCCCCAAAGACTTACAAGAAGATGCCCCCAAGAATAAAGGAAAAAATAAACAGACCGAAGAAAAAGAAAATAAA